ATTTTGAATAGAAGTATAAAAGTAAATAGAAGCAATTTGGAGTAATCACTCTGATCTAAAAATCTTACCGTTTATAGTAATGTAGAAGACAATAATTACAACGATTTCACTTTTCTAATTAATCAAATCTAAAAAAAAATAGTATGAAGAGAAAATCCTTATTATGAAGAAATCCTGTATTCAAGATACATCGAGTAGGTATATGGAATCAAGGCAAATATTTCTTCGATGTACATTTCCACACTGAGTCAACATCCGAAAATACGTGGTTTGTTTGCGTAGCCGAGCGCGTAGAATTGATACGGTTAACAGAACGGTAAAAGCAAGTATGCATCTGTCTAGCGTCAATTAACCAGTTCGAGCGCATCAATGTGAAGATCTAAACATGTACACAGTAAAAAAATTGTGTATTTGTGTTGGAAACGTCCACTCATGTTCTTGTTAACAATTTGTGTTAAATTTTTTAACATATTCGAGTGTTAATTCAACATAATCTGATTACGTTATTTAAAGATTTTGTGTTAAATTGATATTTAACATTTCTTAGTATCAAAATGACAGAATTCGCACTCTAAATTTTTCAGAGTGAAATTTTACTCTCGAAGTCCGGTAGGAGTAAAATTTTCATTCTTAGAGAGTGAAGAATCACTCTTAGGCCCAGTTTCACAACTCACGGTTAACTCTTAACCGAGGTTCAACTTATTTCTCATCTTTTTCCAATTCTAAAATTGAAAAGAGATAATGAATAAGTTGAACCTCGGTTAAGAGTTAACCGTCAGTTGTGAAACTGGGCCTTAGAGAGTGAAGAATCACTTTAAACGAGAGTCAAATTTCGATATCTGTAGAGAGTGAATAATTTCGCTCTCTGAGAAGAGAAACTGAAAGTAAATATTAAGTTTAGCCCTCCTACATCGTATCTTGACGAAATTAGGCTCATTTGGCACGTTTTTGCACAAAACGAACGAATCTGGCAGAAAAAAAGCATTGCTCTGCCTCACGAAGCGAGATATTAATCATTAAAGTTGATCCCTTTTAGGAAATTTATTCCTTAAGGAGTGAAAATTTACTCTTACCGAACTGGCGCAACTATCACTTTTCATGGAGTGAAATTTCACTCTCAAAAATTTAGAGTGTATGAATAAGTGAAATACCATAAAAATAGTGTCCTAAAACGTAAATTCTAAGATGAATGAATAAAATGTGGGTTGATTTAACATATTATAAATGTTAATTTTCTGAAAAAAAAAATGCTTTCACGGTTTGTTTACAAATCGTGACGATATTACTTTTTTGTATTTATTCTCTTACATAATATTTATATATAACTTAACATATTCATCTTGTGTTAAATTAACTTAAAAATTGATATGAACCATTTGGGACGTGCGATTTATGTTAAATTTGACACATTTTTTCCAACAGTGTACAAATATTTGTAATTAGTTTTTTAGTGAAAGGTTTGAGAAATTATATTTATCAATATTAAGCATTTGATACATTTTTATTGCTATTCAATTTAGATTTGCTTACGTGGACAATTTAGATACTACTCTAAGTGACAGTTTATCTTATTGAGTAGTGCAACTACAGTTATATAATTTTCTAATAAACTCTTGACATTTTATCATAGTTTCCATCTGCAGTTGAATTTTCAAATCCAAATTTGTTATAGTTTCCAGCTTGGATTAAATTTTCAAATTCAAATGGAATTGAGTCCATGACGTCGCGTCTTTTTCTACCGCTTGCAGTGGTTGCTGCTGTGGTGGTGGTAGTGGTGGTGGTGGTCGTTTTACGGCATCGGCGTTTACAACACTTATTACGCCGCTTTGATATTTTGAAAAAGATGGATTCCTTCCCACAGAATAGAGAATGTCGTTACTTTTCGGAAATTCATCGATAAATGATCATGTTTGAATTAAGACTTACGGATTCCTGCAACATGGCACAGACCACGATCGTCAAGATCAAGAACACCACTGATAGTCTCATATTGCAATCTTGCGCTGCTAATCTTGTACTGTGAATGCTTGCGTCGAGTAGCACATTTATACTGTGCTGCTGAATAACAATTTATTTGTTAAGCATTGACAACGAATATGGTACACACCTGTTTTGCCATTTATCGTAGCTTATTGTTAAATATATTTCGTATAACGAGAATAATGACAACGCATCAATATGTTCCGCATTCTTTTAGACATATGTCGCTGATATGATGTAATTGTTACATGCATGCATGCATGCGGAAACAACGTCGGATAAGTATATTCAAATGTATTCCGGTATTACAGAGAAAAATACGGACTTTAAAAATTCTAAAAAAAAGACGAACAGACATTTGTTAGGTCATGTTTTTAAATTTTTGTTTTTCTTTAAATATATATATATATAATAAATATAATAAAAGTCCTAGTAGGAATTGACTATCGGCGAGGTTACAGGTCCAATTTTTATATGTCAGAACAGATGTGATACTAAAGGAATATTGGAATAATAGTAATGGATCAAGACTTATAATACCATATTATTACAGTACGGAATGACTACTAAATACAGATACAAATATATTGGCAGTATGCTGTCTCAATACTAGGGACCCGGACAGAACCGAAATCGGAACCGAAAACCGTTTCGGAACTGAAACCGAAATCGTATCCAAATTTTGTATAGTTTATAATACCGAAACCGTAACCGAATTGGTAAAATTTTATGGTTTTTTTCGGTTCTTTTTTCAGCTCTTAATTTTTAATCTTTGTCCTTGTTCTTAATCTTTGTTCTGCCCGTTTCTTCGTTCAAATCACCAATATTCAATCCAGTATTACCATCACTACCTCTCTTAATAACCAGAATGTAAATACCTTCAACACCTCATATGATATAAGAAATCTGGCGGGATTGCAAGACATATTTAATGTGAACTTTTTTTAAGATATTAGCATTTCTTTTACTTAGATCTTCCTCACCAACATGTTACAAGAATTTATTCTAAATCATGAAAAATTCAAGAATATATATGTAGACTTTATGTAATAAGTAAGATCTATCCATAAGAAATAAGTTGTAAGAAAGGACTGACATGAGAGAAATATGCCTAAAATAATGTTTACGTAATTTTTATTCAGAGTCACGTGATCAATTGATGCCTCTTTTCGACTAGGCTCTCTAGATTGAACGGATGAGCACGCTCTCTCTCCCCCCCTCGCCCCCTCTCCCTCTCTCCCCCTCTTCTCTCCCTCTCTTCCTTTTTAATAGAACAAATTTAAGGAATAAATAAAATAAAGTAAGTAGAACCGAAAAGAACCGTTAAAAAACCGTAATTTTTACGGTTTCGGTTTTCTTTACTGATAAAAAAAGACCGAAACTGAAGCCGGAACATTTATTTGATATTTTATTAAACCGGAACCGGAACCGAATCGAAAAAACCTTTCGGTCCGGGTCCCTGCTCAATATGGACATCTGATACATTGAATTTGGATAATTTCAGTATAGAAACACCGAAAATGTACTGAAAATGTACTGGATCAATACTACTATTCAATATTGATGAATACATTGGACTACACTGAAAAAAATACATGTAATTTTACATAAATTACATGTCTATGACTGGAAAATTACCGAAATATGATTGGAAATTTATAATTTCCAGTAAATTTTTAATCATATTTATGTAATTTAAGTAATTTTCCAGTCACAAACATGTAATTTCCATGTAAAATTACATGCATTGTTTTCAGTGTAGTACCATATCATTGTTTTTTAAATACTGATCCAGTATTGAAATAGGAAACTTATTTTTCGGTACAGAATCGGTACTTCGTCAGAATTGAATTCTGATCTACCGTCTGAATTCTCACTTGGGAGATTAAATTGTTATCGGCATTGCAGAATACTGAAGTTTGTGCGGAAAACATGGTGTCCAGCGGTCCTTGAATATCCTTGGATCTTGGAATTATACTGGAATTTTATATATTCTCTGAAATTTCCTGGAAAACCCCTGAAATTTCAGGACTTGCCTGGAATTTATCATTCTGTCTAAAAAGAATCAGAGCGTGGAAAAAGAAAAAATAAGAACAAAAATTGTGTTTGGGTATAAATCCTCCTTTAACCAGGCGTGAGCTAGGTCGGGTATGTCACATCCGACACATTGATCTCTTAACGTTTAAAATTGTTACTAATTTGATTAAAATTTTAATAAACATAATTTTCTTATAATTCTGAATATTTTTTTCTGGTTTTTATTTAGTGGGAGATCCGTGGTGTCTTATGAAGTACTTTTAGATTTAGATACTTTTAGATACTTTGCCACCTAGCTCACGCCTGGTTAAAGATGCAATAAGTTACGAATAGAAAATGAGAAACTTGAATTTAATGTTTAAAATAGAACATAGATAGTAGACAAATTGTTTGTGTTGAACGGAATGTTTGATATTATTTATAAAGCAATAAATAATATTGTTTCAAGTTTGTTAGTAATTTAATTTATTCCTATAGAATTCTAACTTAAATATAAAGTATATATAATAATAATGTGCAAATCGATGAAAATTAATTAAATAATGAAAATTAATCGATGGGATAAATCCTGGAAAAGCCAGGATTTTTATCTGGAATATTCTGGAATTATCCTTGAATTGACTAGCCAGATTTTGCTGGACACCATGATAAATTAAATAAAATACTGTATATATATGTATATAGTATATATATATAAATGATTTAAAACTATTATAAGTACATAAAAAAAAATGGTATAGCAATATTTGCATGTAGCTTAATGCGACCATTGAGTATAACAATTGTTTCATATCAGAAACATATGCCTAAGAGAATGCGGAACATATTGATACTTTGTTATTATTCTCGTTATACGGAATATACTTGACAGTGAGCTATGACAAATGGCAAAACAGATGTATACCATATTCATTGTCAATGCTTAACAAATAAATTGTTATTCAGCGGCACAGTATAAATATCGCTACTACGACGCGAGTATTCACAGTGCAAACATTAGCAGCACAAGATTGCAATATGAGACTATCAGTGGTGTTCTTGATCTTGACGATCGTGGTGTGTGCCATGTTCCAGGAATCCGTAAGTCTTAATTCAAACATAACCATTTATTGATAAATTTTTGAAAAATAACGACGTTCTCTGTTCTGTGCAAAGGAATCTTTTTTTATTATTAAACAAAAGAAATGTAAGAAGTGTTGTTGTAAACGCCGATGCCATAAAACAACCACCACCACTACCACCACCACAGCAGCAACCACTGCAGGAGGTAGAAAAAGACGTGACATCATGGACTCAATTCCATTTGAATTCGAAAATTTAACCCCGGATGGAAACTATAACAAATTTGAATTTAAAAATTCAATCCCGGATGGAAGCTATAAAAATAAAATGTTAAGATTTTATTAGAAAATTATGTAACTATATAGTTGTACTACTCAATAAGATAAACTGTCACTTAGAGTAATATCTAAATTGTCCACGTAAACAAATATAAATTGAATAAAGATGTATCAAACACTTAAATACGGATAATTATAATTTCTCAAACTTTTCGTTTAAAAACTAATTACAAATATTTGGTATAGTATTCGTTAAGTAAGTAAACCGAAATAAATCTACATTGGTAGAAACGGACAGTCCCAGAAATTAAAATTATGGTAATATGGATATTAGCAGTGATTATTGCAATGAGGATTTTTCTGAATGACTTTTTGTCATCAAGAAATCTACAAAAAGTCTCTTTTATTCTATCTCGCAGTTGGTACACGTGACGTATACCAATTCCGATGGATGTCAGCCGAAAAAGAGGATCTTGTCTGATTCGACATTTGTACACGACATTTGTACCGACGTGTATACTCGGTCCTTCAGGCCCGACGCATACGAAATGCTGGTTTTTGTCGTAGAATTATGGCCAATGCATTCAACAAATTGGCGATTTTTTTTGCGTGATACCGGGAGGGAGGGTTCATCGACTCGCGTCATGTTTTTGGGGCCTCAGGATCGTCTATGTGGATACGAAGGAAAGCTTTATTGATGAGATCGTTAATACGCCAGATCAGCGAATGTTTTGCTGCCAGATCGGACGTCTATCCGTCGCGATCAGCGACCACCCGATGAGTCGATCGTCTTCCTTTCACCCGCGACAAAAAGAGACTCAACTTTGGTATACCAGTCTCTCTCTCTCTCTCTCTCTCTCTCTCTCTCTCTCTCTTTCTCACGCAACTCATTTAAATATTGCTTTGTCTTTGTAAGTCAGACTCTTCCGCTTGACATATACAACCTTACAAGCCGCTAATTTAGTTCCACGTTTACACTTGATCGTTTCTTTCTAAATTGATATATGATTAAAAAATGTTTTAAAAACGTTTTTTTCTACATACTTATGTATATAGTATAGAAGCTTGCAGCATTGTTGCTGTAACGTTATTAATAATATTATTGCAATATTGCTGGAATAATCTGTGTGTTGTATGGAATATCTGCTTTATTAGTTTAATTACGATAAAATTAATTCCACTTGCAAATATGTAATGCCAATTGTTTCTCCAAAAAGTTCTTATACCGAAAAAATAGACTAGATCAAAGTCGCGCGCGTTCTGACAACATGATAATTTTATATAATACTTATATACCCTTAATACACGTACACTCGAGTTATTCGTGTCGTGTACATTTCTTTTTTTTTAAACTAGAGATCTTACGTAATTATAACGTTTATATATAATTTTTTTGAATATGCAACTTTAATATATTTTCTAAATATGTTAAAGAATCACTTAATATATATATATAATTTTTGAATATTTATTAAAGTGATGAAAATTAATTTGGGACACGAATGACCCATCGTGTGTAATAAATGACTGGAAAATCATTGTATATATTAGGGATTAAAATTGATAAAAAGATCCTGTGCTGTCAGTATAGTACCGCGGACATGCGTCAAGTGACACGGGATAACGCAGAACCTCCGTGTAAACATCTGACCACCAAGATTCGACTTAAGAACCCTGCATAGTATTGATTATCATCGTCGTGGCGGTACATCTCGTCTCAATACGTCCATCAGATCGCTCGCGCGTAAGCCGGGGCCTTTTTTGCAGCGTCGACGACGTCGGGCCTCGGGAACGAGAAGAAGACGAAGAAAAAGATGAAGAGGAAGAAACGGAGACAAGTCGTGGTGAATTGGGTCCGCGAGTCTTATCCGCGGATTGGCAGACATCGGCATACATATTGCATGTCCGATGGGGACATATTTATTGGCATCTCTCTATACACTCTATCGTCGAAACATGACTGCGCCCCGACACACCCTTCGAGCCCTTCCCCTGTGCCAACCCCTGTTCAAATGAATAAAGTATTCCGTGTTCTTGGTACGGTAACTCTTTTTGTAATGCCGCGCGTGTAGGTTTTACTGTGACTCGTCGACGCTTTTGCGCGGGAGACCGGCGCTTCGCGAATGATCGATGCTGAAATTATAGCGGGCTTCGTCTCGACGGACTCCGAACTCGAGGAGATACAGCATATGCGACTTCTTCTTCTTCTTTTTCGCGTCCGCGCTTTGTCCTTTTCTTTTTCCTTGTAGCTTGGAATATTACCCGTTCTGAAATCCAAGGGATCTCACAAAGTGCTCGTTCCACATGGAGAAGACCTATTAATTTCGCGTTGAGATTGCGAGCGAGGAAAAGCGCGATCGATCGATCGAATGCGTGCGAAATTGCGGCGCAAGAATCGCTGTGTTTCGACACGGATTGGTTACCTTTCGTTTTAATCCCGTATGATTTAACTCTGCACACGTCGTTGAAAAATATGGTCGAATTAAACGCGAATCCATATGAATTCTGAGAGGACAATATCGATTTACCTTCACTTGAATCACATGAATGGCTCTGTATGTATTGTAAATTTAAATTGATAATATGAATAAATTTATCCTAGTTATTCTTACATTGATCGTGAAGTGGTTCGATTAAATCACAAATTAAGGTATAAAAATACTTTATTTCCTATACTTTTAAATGAATTATATATTATATGTAATATAAATAGTATTTTTCTATAATTGTCATTATAATATTATTTAGTTATATCGGGCTTTCTAAAAAATAATTCCTTATAAATAATAGAGAAGATACTAGATGCCAAGTATTTCTTGACCCTCTCACCATACATTGTCGGTGAGCTTATTATTTATCTTACCCCGCAGATCAGGTTACTCTCGACGATATCTCTAATGTCGTGATCGATTGCGTCCCGTATTCTGTTTCATCCAGTAATCACAGCGTATATGTCATACTCCATGAAGAAAGTTGTTACTTGTGGATGTTCTTGGGGGACGCGATGACTAAGTCATACAGCAAAATTAACTACTTGTCGGATTAATCGCTTTAATCGCCGGTCTATCTCACGAATACTGACATAGGCAACTCGATGTGTTGTGTGTATATATTAAATCAGTTGTATATTTTATATAACATTAGATTTTAGACATTCCGTTTTTTTTTTGCTTTTCCTTTGATCTATTTATCATCACTCTTTTTTTGCGGAAAGAATGATTTTGCTGAAGTATCTGAAAATTTAGCTAGATCTGAAAATAAGATAAATCTGAGAATAATTTTATTGGATATCACAATAATTATGTGGGACGCTAAAGCGTAATGGATAATGCTGCAAAAAGTGTTGACATTCTAGCAAACAGCTTGAATGTCTTATATAATTATTTAACAAAATTATTTTCAGCTTTGTATCTAGCTAAATTTTTATAGGTACTTTAGAAAAATAGTTTTTTTTTGTATTGTATTTGATACAATATTGCTCAATCTAGTCATCAATTATCGCACGTCGTAATAATTTATTATGCGTTATCATCCATTTCACCTCCACGCCTTTGGGATGGAAGCGTGTAACTGCGCACGAGGTCGACAGTTATCTCACAAGCTTCTCGAAGGCGGGCAAGCGAGGAGCGCCAGGTTATACAATGGGACAATCTCCGACTTGATTTTGCGTTAGGCGGTCGAGATTGGCAGTCCGCGTTACTTGCCTGCCAGGCAGGGCAACGCCACGCGTTGTGCTGTACGTACGTAGGTATATAGGTACAGTAGCGGCGTGGCGATGTGATCCTGTCGGGCACAGGACTACGTTACCGCCCCCACGATTACAGACGAGGAGGACGACGAGAGCGAGGACTAGGATGGGGGCCATCCCAGAACGTCTCTGCCTCTGACAGCTCGACTCTCCCTCCGTCCTGCTCTACGCCATGTCTCCTCCCCGTACCCTCGTGTGTCCCCAACACTTCATTCTATCCCTGTCTCAGCCTTCGTGCATCCCGTACATCTCTCTCGTTATCTTCACCTATCGCCGCGGTATAAGATACATCGTGTATAAGTCGCACAACGGAATTCTCAGGAAGGGCGATTTCTAGCGATATTCAAGTAATTCACTGTTCATCAAACGTTACGTTACAAAAAGATATATTTAAGAGCGTCATTAATTCACATAATTACTCACGATGAAACGATCCTTTTAATCTTTCTTTGAAAAAGGCAGTGAATCAATTAAATTGTGTTTACCAACGCGACAACCGACCGTGTGATTCAGACTATTAATATGTATTCGATCGTTGTATGTGAGATTAACGTGAACTGTTTTCATCGCTGTTTTTGTGAAGGGGAACAACGGATTGGTGATGGTAGTAGTATTTCCAATTTGACTGGACGTCGAGCGCGGACTGGAGGTCCGCGGACCATTCGCTCAGTCCTTTCTGGCCTAGGGTCGCATTAACATTCCACCACCGAAATTATTTATAGCTTCATCCGAGATATCTCGAGATGTAAATCAGACATTCCTCTAATTTGGGATCCTCGTGCGGTATATGAGACTGCGTGCGTTCGCGTCTATAGACAGTTTCGGACGTGGGTGTAACGTATCATTTGATCATCGGCTGTATGACGGTTACTCGGAAACCAAGTTTGGAATTGCAATAAACTTCGAGATTAAATCAGAACGCATATATATACATAAAACATTGTCTCTGAATATCGCGCAGCGAATGCAGTCTCGTTGATTATTCTCCTCGGCGATAAGTCTTGAATCCAAATATTCGAGTAAAAAGGACCACTAATTAAATGGAAAAAATGATTTTAGTCAAATTGGCTGAAACTAATATTTTGTAGCTTCATAGAGATGCTGATCAAAAGTCTCCTAAGTACAACCATCAAAAGTGGACAGATTTTGTCGTAGCACCATTTGATAATTGTTATTTTAGGTCTAATCGGACCGAAACGATCATCATGAAAGAGCAATTTTGCTGAAGAATTAAAAAATTTATCAAAACAATTAGATAGTTATGTTTAAGATTCTTACAAAATTATTTTCAGATATATATTATGTGACGTTTCCTATTTAATTAAATATCACTAATTTAATATCATATATGTGGATTTCCTCCAATATTTATTGATTGCAAAAAAATTTTACTGTGATAATGAAATATATATCTCATTAACTG